ACTCACAATAACACCATGAATCTAAAAGACACAAAGAATAAAAATTTTAAGTTTGAAATGGATTATTAACTTACATAATACAATAAAGAAAAAAGAAATAATATACATTAAATATGGGAAGTGATCATTGATTACCAAACAAAATTTGACACATATTTTTCAAATAATACACGAAAGATGAAACCAAATGAAAAATGACTTATTTTCATGTTAATTGTTGTTCATAATTTGAGTCGATTCAATAACATTAAAGCAAAATTTCTATATGTAACGAAAACAAAATGAATGTTTTTCCTCATTAAATTTGTTCCGTCCGTCTTCAATACAATGCTATAAATTTATCCCAAAAAGGAGTGCCCACCATGCATTTTGTTTAATATACCCAACCACCTTTCCTTTGCTCCCATGGAATGTCCCCTCCATGTGCCCTAATTTAACACCCCCTTTATTTATGGGGCCATATAGAAGAGACTAATTGTCAAAGCATGGAGCCTTCCCCTTCTCTTAACTATCATTGCTAATTTCATATTAAACCATAAAGAATGCAATAATATAGTGATATAAAAATAGTCTTTTGTATGAAAAACATTTGCTTTAAAGTTTGCATTATTTGAATATGAGAAAGGTTAACTATATACTAGTTATGGTAAATTTTTTTTTAAATTGTAATTAATATTGTTTTCTCTTGATTTTGATGAAATCAATGCATTACTGCTAAATCTTTTCTAAATAATATGTAATATCTTCTCCCAATACAGAAGCACTCATCAAATTAACTATCAACTGTTGCATTTAATATAAGAATATTACTATAAATAATATTTTAATTAATTAATATCCTAAAATCTATATTTTAAACTATTTTTAATCAATGTTTAACATAACCTAAATTAGTTTAAACATTGGGTTAATCATAATTAATGTTTATCAACTAAATTAAAGTGCATGCACTTTGATAAAAGAATCCAAGAAAAGGGTCGCTCAATGTTTTGTCTTTCTTTTTTTCTTGGAGCTTGTAGCCTTACCATTGGTGGGTCTATAAAACAAAATTTAATTATTTGATAGATTAAAGGTAGCCAAAAAGAAAGGCGGAAAGGTAGGTTGGTTTTGGGCAGTTGGCAGTTTTTTCAGGTAAAGTCGGTTGGTCGAACAGTTGTAAATTGAATTATTTCTTAGAAGAAATTCTTCCATGACATATGGAGATACCAAAGGGCTATGCTTTTTTCTTTTTAACATATTGGAAATGCGAGTTGCAGAATAAAATTGTTGCAATTTCATTTGTGGCAACTACCCATCACTTTTGCTCTTCCTGTATTTAATGTTCAGAAATTAATGTTTGAAGCTATCGATTTCTCTTAGGTTTAATTGTCTGTCAAAACAAGCACATGATCTTCTGGCACCATTTGCAAGAAGACAATTTCATGAAGATAAATTTAAAAAAAAAAAAAAAAACTACTTCTCTGGGGATATATTTGCATTTGGTGGATAGGTATTGCGTCTAATTAATGGGTGCTTATAAATTAATGATTAAAAATAATTAAAATATTGTTTTAAAAATTACATTTAATAATTGTTTTTATAAAATTAAAAAAAATTAATTCATTAAAAATTTATTTTCTAAGATATCACTTCAATACTGACTAACATTTTTCTTTGATTTTTAGATAGCATTTAATTAATTAGCACATGTCACCATGTGCACATGTGATACCGTGGTTGCATTTGCGTCTCTTATAACTAGGAGAGGTGCCTTCCATGCCTTACATGTGCAACACTAACTACTATATCTGCAAAACAGATTTAACTTGTTTCTTTTTTTTTTTTTTCAATTAATTCAAAGAAGGAGAATTTGAATCCGATTTCGTTCATCAAAGAACAATTATGTTGAACCTAAACCTTGGACTAATATGTAGTTGTTGAAAACATATAATTTATAATAATTACACTATAATTAATAATTATAATTTAAAATTATATATTATTCATCAAAATTTTGAATGGAAACTACGTTTATAGGTGATAAATTCTCACATAATTTTTTATCATAATTAAATAATTTTAAGATTGCACATACATGCATGTACATAAAAGATTATCAACAAATAAACTCTTAATTTCATGATTCATTGAAGATTGTAAATTAATAAGTTTCAAACAATAGAAAATTGCAAGATTGTTTTTCTTTTCTTTCTTTCTTTTTTTTTTTTTTTTTAAGAATTGAAATGTTTGCTCTATCTAAAATATCTCTTTTTTGTTTCACATGGAGGAATGAAAGCTTAGCTTGAAAATCGAGATCAAGTTTCTTTTCATTTCAAACAATTTTCACATCACTATTTATTTTTAAAAATAACCAGCAAGATTCCAATTAAAAATTTCTTCAATAGTTCAAACATTTCTTTGTTCATTGCGAATCCATATGCTTGTTGCCTCATTTCTTCTTCCTCCAAAATTATTTAAGTGGTAGCCTAATTTTTTATTCATATATAACTTTCAATTTTTAATCTTCATTTTTCAATAGAAATTGAACGACCTCATGTGCCTCGTTGCGAACAAACATAACTAAAATCTCGATTTTCTCGTTATCTATGGCCAATCATATTGATTAATTAATTCCTTGTTGCATGACAAAAGTCTAAGTTAAATTATGATGCACAAATAACACTAATAATATTAATCATGTGAATTCCCATCTAGCGTGGATCATGGACCTCCATAATTAATTTATGGCAACTTTTTTCACATGATTATGGCTAAATCTTATGTCATATTCATAGAAGTGATTATGAGTTAGGTCAAACTTGATTGGTTTTTGAAAATTTTTATATAAGGTTCGACTCGGCTCGTTGGGTCCAAAAATTTTTAAAATTAAAAAAATATTAAAATACTAATATTTAATATATTTGAAAACTAAAATTAAATAAAAATAATTTTTATTAATTAGATTTATATATTATCTTTGACAAACAAAACCTAGATCAAGACCCAACCAAAGTCGAACCAAACCCACAAAATGGTAAGTAACTTGATGGTGGAAAAATCTATGTGGTAAGATTTCAAACTAGAATACAATCAATGATATGTAAATATTATGGCGTAGCTTATCAATATTCTTATTTTGACATATTTGATTATCTATACAAAATGAAGGTAATTTCTCTCATTTCAGTTATAGAGAAAGTTAGATATGGTGGGTTGAATAACATGGTTTTAGGTGGTAATTAACATTATATACCTGCTTCTTTTTAATTAAGTAAGCAAGTAGTTGATTAGTTGGGTAAACCTAGTGATCATATTGCATTAAAATAACCAAAATGTAGAGTTGGAGAAAAGCCAATGTTTGAATATCTTAGAATCAAAGTTGACCACTAAAGGAAATTAGAAAGGTGCCCTAGTAGCTAGGTAGTTAAACTCTATCGATCTAATTCCCATGTAATAATAAAAATAAAATTAATTTTTTTTATATTTAATAAAAGGTTTTCAATAGATTGATCTTTAGATCAATTAACATGTGAGTAGATTGACATTTGAAAATTACGAATTCGAAAAAGTTTATTTGCGTAATATATAATAAGATAAAATATTTAATAATAAATTAAAAACTTTTTAAAAAATAAAAAGTTTCAAGACCTAATCATCATTAGTAAATCACCAGCCGTAAATTGACATGTTGAAGGTTTGAGAATGTTGTATTTTATTCTATAAATTAAGATGAGGTCTGATCTTGGCAAATAATGAAAAGATTGGTCATCTTCAACAAATTAATCAACCGTTAGCTCAATCAATTTTATATTATAAAGTGAAAGAATATAATATTAACATTTTCAGTGATTTAGGGTCATTCAGGGTAAGAGACTAATCTCGCACTCAAAAAATTATATGCTTTTTGTTATAACGTGAATGGAGATATGGTTGTTTGTCCATGACTGGAAGTTTAATTCTAAAAAAAATTGTTCACCTCTCTCATGTTAATTGGAGCAAAAAATTAAAAAGGAATCTCTCTTACCTAGCTGCAACTGATAAAAATTTAATCAATTAAGCGAAATTTTTAATTGAAATTAATATAAAAAAACAATTAGCATATGTTTCCGAGGAAGAAAATCTTTCCTCAGAAGATATACAAATTAATTAACAAAGAAAAGTTGGAATAACAAAATTAAAAACACAAGAACATTAATGCCGTCAAAGAGAGTACCTAACTATCACCTGTCTGCTGTCTCCCCGTTGTTGATCAAGTCATTAGTTTAAAGAAACTTTGGGTAGTTTTCGTGGGGAATGATACACATAACGCATTACTATGGTTTTTTTTTTCCTTCACTGTCACTTACATTACATATATGTTGAAAAAGAAAGAAAAAGAGAAAATTAAGTCTTTTTTTTTTTTCTTTTTGTATGAGAAGAGATGAATGTGGATGACAAGGCAAGTGTGTGGGTCAGTTGATGTGAGGTGTTGAAAGGCAGCAAACACAGAGCAAAGGTCATGTGTAGGGAGAAATGTCTCTCGTCAAAAAGAGGAAGCAACGCGGGGTTAGAATTAGACGTGTCCATTAGGGACCAATAACATCGCACCCAACCACAAACCTTCCCCAACCCCAACCCTACACTAACGCTACCTCTTTTTTTCTTGCGTCAAACCATTCAATATACAAATCAAATCTAGTTTTCCATTTCATAAAATCAAAGTTTGATAAATTACTCTAACCCCTCAAGACGTTAATGTATAACTTTAAATAATATATTACTGACGGATCATTGATACTCAATATCATAGTTTCCAGAAGAATTAATGAATAAACCAAGTCTTTGATTTTGAGGTGAAGGTAACTTTTTCTCTTTCTTTCTCATACATGAAATAATATATTTTACTGGAGTTTTTATTTATTAAAATTAAAACGCTTTTAAGGCATGGATAAGTAATTAGATTTCTAAACTTTTAAGATTCATGCTCCAACTCTTAAATAAAGCATAAATCACTTGAAATTGTAACTGTTTCCCTTTTTTTTTTCAAATAAAATTTAACAGGTGGTTATTCTCCCACAGTACATGATACGTGTCTCAGATGGACCTATATTTGCCCCCTCTCTTCCTATAAATACCCTCTTCTCTCTCCCATTCCCTCTTCAAAACACAGTCACTCCACACCTCTTCTGTTAAGCTAAAACATCACTTAAAGTCTCTCTCATCCCAATACATATAAAGCAGAATCTCACAATATTCAAAGTTTCACCCTTCATTCCAAACAAACCATAACAACTATTAATTGGCCAAAATTGAGCACCCATGGCTTCATCTGCAACAGGCAATTGTCTTAAGCCTAAATTCTCAGTTTCAACCTCTTCATCTCTAGACTTGGGTTCTATTTCTTCTTCTATACCTTTCAAAAGGCCTAGTAGAAAGCCTAACATTTCCTGCTCTCTCCAAACTCCTCCCATTCTTCATTTGCCAAAACAATCACCAACATATCCTCCATCACCTACTCCAGCTTCTAGTCCCATCACAAAACGCCCCATAAACGCTTGTTCTACTGAGAAAACTCAATCCCAACAATGGAATCCTTTTCAAAGAGCTGCAGCTATGGCTTTAGATGTGGTTGAGAATGCTTTGGTCTTTCATGAGCGTCAACGTCCTCTTCCCAAAACAGCCGACCCCAGTATCCAAATCTCTGGCAACTTTGCTCCAGTACCAGAGCGACCAGTCAAGCATAAGCTTCCTGTCACTGGAACAATCCCTGAGTGCATACAAGGAGTCTACGTTCGAAACGGAGCCAACCCACTTCACGAACCGGTCGCCGGACACCATTTCTTTGATGGGGATGGGATGGTTCATGCGGTTCGGTTCAAAAATGGCTCAGCTAGCTATGCTTGTAGGTTCACTGAAACAAACCGTCTGGTCCAAGAACGAGCTTTTGGGCGTCCAGTTTTCCCCAAGGCCATAGGTGAACTCCATGGCCACTCTGGCATAGCTAGACTGTTACTTTTCTACGCCCGTGGCATATTTGGGCTTGTTGATCCAAGGCATGGTACTGGAGTTGCTAACGCTGGACTTGTTTACTTTGATGGTCATCTCCTTGCTATGTCCGAAGATGATTTGCCTTACCATGTTCGTATCACTCCATCAGGGGACTTGAAAACGGTTGGCAGATATGATTTTGATGGTCAGTTAAAGTCTACAATGATTGCTCATCCCAAAGTTGATCCTGAAACCGGTGAATTTTTTGCGCTTAGCTATGATGTTATACAAAAGCCATATCTCAAGTACTTCCGTTTTTCACCGGATGGTAAGAAATCACCTGATGTTGAGATTCCAGTAGACGGTCCAACAATGATGCATGATTTTGCAATCACAGAAAACTTTGTGGTGATCCCTGATCAGCAAGTCGTCTTCAAATTGCCTGAAATGATTCATGGTGGCTCACCAGTTGTCTATGACAAGAACAAGATGTCAAGGTTTGGGATATTGGACAAGAATGCCACTGATGCTTCTGGTATTAGGTGGGTTGAGGCACCTGATTGCTTCTGTTTCCATCTTTGGAATGCTTGGGAGGAGCCAGAGACTGATGAAGTTGTGGTAATTGGCTCCAGCATGACACCTCCAGATTCCATTTTCAATGAATGTGATGAGAGTCTCAAGAGTGTTCTGTCTGAAATTAGATTGAATTTGAAGACTGGCAAGTCAACACGCCGCCCCATCATTTCAGAATCTGAACAAGTGAACTTGGAGGCAGGGATGGTGAACCGGAACCTGCTGGGAAGAAAAACCCAGTTCGCATATTTAGCTCTTGCTGAGCCTTGGCCTAAAGTGTCGGGATTTGCCAAAGTTGACCTCTCAACTGGAGAGGTCAAGAAATATATCTATGGAGGCCAAAGGTATGGTGGTGAACCTTTGTTCTTTCGTCGAAACCCCAATTCAAAGAACGAAGATGATGGTTATATTTTGGCTTTTGTTCATGACGAAAAGACCTGGAAATCAGAACTACAGATTGTGAATGCTATGAATTTACAGCTAGAAGCCACAGTTAAGCTTCCATCTCGAGTTCCATATGGATTTCATGGAACATTCATAAGCTCCAAGGACTTGGAGAAGCAGGCCTAACTCAGCTTGAATAGCCTTGTTAAGTTATCATCAAGTTTTTTAGATGGTTTAGCAGGTTTGAGGGAGAGATTTACCAGAGGGATGCTTGCATATATTGTCCCCGGAATCTCTTTCTCTGTTTCACAGTTTGACAACCTTGTTTTTGGGTCAGTCCTGGACTTTTACCTTTTTGGTTATTTTAAAGTGAAAGGTGTTTTGAGAGGCCAGCTTGTAGCTTTTGGTTATAGGTAATATTGAAGCTCAGCTGGTTTCTGCTTATTCTTTTACTTGTGTGCAGGAAACCGTTCATAAATATGTAGCGTGTATTTGTCTGGTTATAATATAAATATCAGTACCTTGTTTATTACCATTCGATATAGACCTTGAGCAAATCTTATCAATGGTATAATTGAGGTATGTTTGGCCAAAGAGATTTAATCAGGAGTGAACAATTAAAAAGAAGAAAAAAAAATTTTGAGAAGAAAAGTGCCTAGATTATTTTTGCATAGACAGCCGACAAGAAGTCAATTTGTTTAGATATCTGATGGTTGGTCTATTTTATAAAGAACATAAGTAGCATTTAGAACAATGAACAAAATGAGAAAACAGCACGGTTAACTGTTAAATCATTCCAGGATTGGTTAAAAATAAAGATTGGATCTCCTTTTTAGTCATCAAATCCGTTAACTGGCAACCCTTTTGGAGATTTTAAGTTCAAACTCGGCTGCAAACCCTGAAGTTGATAGTGGCTACATACCATTGGCAGTAGAAACATCATGGTGGGACGAAACTCAACACCTAAGATATTGAACAATGACTAAGATATTTAAAATAGGGAGCATAAAGGGTGATTTGACTCAACCAGTCCAATCCTCAAATTTGGAGATTAGATGATTTCAAGTCAACATTGATAGCCTACTTGATTTTTAGAACTTGAAAATGTGAATAATTTCAGATTCCCTTAGTGAAAGTAGGTTGCCCTCATATTGTTTCAGATATAAAAATCATAACTCTACAGTCACAGATGGGGAATTATGTTCCCAAAATAAATGGACTATGACTTTAAAATATTGGTCACATTTAGAAATATCAATGATAATTTATTTAATGCAAATTGTAGATGATATAAACTGATGCAACAAAAGTAGCACCTTGTAGTCATGCCATTGCTGATGAAATTTTAAACTTTTATGGCACTTGAAGGAAAGGAAACTCCATCCATTTTTGCTAGTGTGCGATGTCTGGGGCTTGAGTTTCGGTCATAGATTGTGGTTTGTCAATGAAACTCAATTATTGGGGGGGGGGGGGGGGGGAAGAGGCGGACCGAGAAGAACTTTAAGCATTTCTACACATATTACTAGTAGTGCTGTAATGCTTGGAGGGTCCATATATCCAATACAAGTTTTTTCAATCTGAAATGAGGTTTTGCCATCATTGTTACTCGCCACTGGAAAGCTATAAAGAGGCTATGCCATGAAGAATATGGACTAACTGCTCTACCTGTTGAGTTTGGATGGTGTTTCAGCAGGTAGGATAAGTATCCATTCCTTTCTAATTCTGTTCTATGGTTGTGGTTGGTCCTTCAGGTTCTTACTTTCTTAGAGCTAGCTCAAAGTTATGGCCTTGTTTATATTTTATATCCCAAAAGCAATTCCCAACATGCAATAAGCAGCTTCAAAATCAAACATATAAGGTTCTGTCCCATTTTGCTACTTGCATATATGATATAACAACCCTAATAAATTAGGTGGTTACTACATATATCAAGGTCTGAAATAGATGTTTGCTTCCATTTTGATCCAATTTGTATTCAAAATTCTAATTTCATGACAGAATCCTCCCAAAGTGTATATAGAAAACAATTTTGATTTGCAGCTCATTAGTATATAACAAACCGAGTACACAAAATACGAAGATAGATATATCCGTGGTTTTCGTGACTTGCTTTCTAACTCAATTTGTTTTATATCAAATTTTGAGTAGGAGGGAAATAGTTAATTGGTAAACCTACTAATCGGAACTTATCATGAAGCCAATGTTTTACCATCCAATGGCTGCTACCTGTCTCTTTCAGCAATATTGGCATGATTGTCTAACAGGATTATAAGGTGAAATCTAATCTTAATTTTCTGTTGAAGTTATACATAAGATTAAATAGTGGAGAGATCTTGGCTGCCGAAGGATGGTGTATGTCAATTTCTGTCAAAGTTTATGGCTTGTCATCATCGTTGTGGCTGGCATGGGAAAACAAAGGGCTAACTGTTTCTTTTAGTTTACACCATTTAGTCATCCTTGGTCATAGTCTCCAAACTCTCCAGTACCCCTCCACTGGTAAAGGGAAAAGGAAATGTTAACAAGGTGAATAAATATTGTTGACATTCATTTTCATTATTCCATGATTTTCGCCTTACAAGTATGGCACAAGGAGAACTAGGATCACACAAATCTTAAGATTATAAAGGTGACTTTCACTTTATAACACTTAGCTTTCTTGGAATTTTGGAGGTAGATCTCACGATGTAACACTTGGCTTCTTAAGATTATAAAAGTAATTCCCACTGTATAGCGCTTTGCTTTCTTAAAATTTTAGAAGTAAATTCTAAGGTGTAACACTTAACCCTTATCTAACTGGAAATTGCTTGTATACTATTTGTGAATATCTACATAATTTGAAAAACTCACGATTTGTCTTGCAAAATATGTGTCACAAATTGGGTTTAGAACTTTACATGTATAGTATAACAGGTCCTTACAATCTTTAGATATAAGATTGGAATGTCATACTCTACTAATCACCTTTTTTATTTAAAAAAAATAGAAATTTAAATTCTATTCTTTGAATAAAAAATTCATGCATCATCCAACTGAATCAAATACACTAGAAGAAAACTGATATATAGTGACGCTAAAAAAAGCATCAATAAAACCCCAAAATCCGTCAGTATAACACCATAAACCCTATACTAATGATTAAAATGTATATTCTGATAAATTTTTAACCATCAATATATCTCTTGTCGATATAGACCTATATTGTTAGTTTTTAAAGTGTCAGAATAACTTAAAGAGATATACTTACGATTCAAAACTGTCAGTAAATGTATATCTATTGGTATAGTATCTGTTGTGTGTTTCACCGTTATGCCTTTTACAGACAGTTAACATCTATCAGTATAGACTTGAATGTTTTAATATTTCTTGTCTATACTGACAGTTAATGCTCATCGATATAGACTCGTATGTTTTAAGGCATCGATATAAATTTTAAGGTGTCGATAAAAACTTTTTTTTAATTATATTTTTAATTATTAAAATTAATTTATTTATAATCATAATATGATATGATTTCATATAAAGTAAAAATACACAAAAAAAGTAAAAATATTTAATAACATTTGAAATAAAACAACAACTAAATTGTTTTGATCCACAAATTTAAAATAAGTCAAGAACTAATATTATTGTACCAAATCCAGAAAAAAAAAAAAAGAAAATTAATATCTATAATTAAATGTCTACAAACGTGGTGCTCGAAGTTTGCATCAAAAAATCCTCCTAGCGCTATTACTAATGGCCAAACCTCAAATTCTCTATATATATTTTGAAAAATGTTTTGAAGATTGTTCATATTAGATGCATATTGATCTATTGCAACTCTTGTTTCAATGTCGGAGCCATACAATTCATTTCTTGATCAGTCAGATTATTATTTAAGAAATTTTCGTAAAAGTGAAGCAAGCATTAAAATTTCATAAGGAAAGATTTTTTTCTGTGATGTTTTATTCAAAAAGCCTAAGGATAAGCTACTTACTAGATTAAGAACAAAAGCTCTTCCCCAACTATGTGTTCCATAATCACATTTATCAAGAGGCCACCAATCTACAGTAGAACAGATGAAGTTTTCATCTATTTTTCCTATTAAAGTTGTTCCATTAATAAAAACAGTATGCTAATAATATTTTCAGGCCCTCTTCTATTTTTTTAGGTGACAAAGACTGAGCCTAGATTCATCCAATATAGCCCAAAAGAAAAAACCATGCTCGATGACACACAATTGAAATGCAAAAAATGAAAAATACCTTTGAGAAATGACAAGAGTCTTGATGCTTCAACTTTGATTTAGTTCTAAAACAAAATGGGTGCCGATGAGTTTAAGTTTGTAGAGTCGGTAAGAGGTGGAGAGAGTTGGTGTGAGGTAAAAATTAAGTATGTAGAGTCGGTTGAAAGTGGAGGTAAAGAAAATGATTTAAATTCATAAACCCGCCATTTTTTTTAGGTTATTTAAAGTGTTTTTTTTATCATAAATACTTTGAATAATCCTTTACAAAAAATTTAATAAGGTTATTAAAGGCATTTCTGATCAAAAACACATTAAATAATCCTCTCAATAAACTTTTATAAGGGATTATTGAAAGTATTTTTAACTAAAAATGCATTCAGTAATCCTCTCAATAAATTTTTTCAAGGGATTATTTAAGGCATGTTTAGCCAAAAACTCTTTTAATAATCCCTTCTAAATTTTTATAAGAGATTATTGAAGATGTTTTTTTGTAAAACACTTTTAATAATCCCTTCAACAAACTTTTTTTTTTTAATTATTGAAGGTGTTTTTGGATAAAAACGCATTCAATGATCTCTTCTAAATTTTTTCAAAAGATTATTGAAGGTGTTTTTGGTCAAAAACGTCATCAATAATCTTCACAACAAAATTTTTTGTTTAAATTATTGAAGGGATTTTTGGACAAAAACGCCTTTAATAATCCCCTCCAAAATTTTTTGTATGAATTATTGAAAGGATTTTTTGTTGAAAACGTCTTCAATAATCCCTCTCCAAAATTTTTTGAATGAATTATTGAATGCATTTTTTACCAAAAATGTCTTTAATAATCCCATTTAATTTTTTGTAAGCAAATATTTTTTTTTTGTTTTGAGCCTATACTGACGGTTACATTAATAACCGTCAGTATATAACATATTTATACTGACGGATAGTCATATACCATCAAAAAAAGTTTATTTATACCAATAGTTAAATAAAGTGTTGGTATAAATACGATATATTTTGACGGTATTAAAAAATTGTCAATAAAAGTCTCTTTTATTGACGGAATTTAACCGTAAATAAATAATCCATGCAAAAAAAATTTTGCATAGATTATTGAAGGTGTTTTTGACCGAAAACACCTTCAATAATCCCTTTCAAAAATTTTTTTGAATGGATTATTAAATGTGTTTTTGGTCAAAAACACTTTAAATAATCCCAGTCAATTTTTTGTAAACCAATAGTTTTTTTGTTTTGGGCATATACTAATGGTCACGTTAATAACCTTTAATATATAATATATTTATACTGATGGATAATTATACATCATCAAAAAAATTTTATTTATATCAACGGTTAAATAAAGTGTTAGTATAAGTATAGTATATTCTGATTATATTAAAAATCCATTAATAAAAGTTTCTTTTCTTGACTAAATTTAACTGTTAATATAACCAAATGTCAATATATGAAAAATA